GTGACTTCGTCGAAACGTCGCCAAGACATCTCCAATTCTACGCGGGAGAAAACCCGAACAACTAGAGACCTACATATATCACATGAAGCTGATTCATGTTATTTTAATTAGAGGAAGAGGATACGCCATGGATTGGGAATATTATCCATATTTGCATTAAATACTCCTCTAGGCTCTAGATACCATTATTCCTAGACTCAGAAGTTTGTTTCAAAAAAAAATCTCTTCACTTTCAACAACAGAGTTGTTTTGAAAATTTACATAATTGTGTATGAGGAGGTAAACAAAGATTCTGAGCCCAAGGAAGTTAAGAGAAAAAAAAATTCAGCCCAATACATTAGTTTCCCAATTTCAATCTAGATCCTGCATATTTTTTCCTAATTAAAGTGGATAAGGTATCTGTCAGGTTTCCGAAAGATGCCCTAATTAATTCATAAGCCTCAAGCCAAGTTTCAAAAGAAATACAGTCATTTCTGCAATACTCCATTGCAGTCAGATCTGACTTCATTTTAATTATGGCTGAACTTTGCCCCTGTTTCTTCCCTCCCTTCAGTCTGTGTCATAAATCACATTCTCCAATGAGGGGCATGCCTCACAAGCTTGCTGTAGTAATCTGAGATCCGACTCTAGCTGAAAGTATGCATGGAATGCGCTCCCCGCCTTTCCTCACCATGGCAACTTTATGGGTTGACATTCGGCTCCCCTCACTGTCCGAAAGCGACCTGTGCGAAGCAGAAACAATTTGAGTACAGGTATACCATTATCAAACTGCAATAGACATTCAAAATAGGTCTATTTTAAAAATGTCATGTGTTTCTGTCCTAGGAATATTTAGATTTTTTAAAAAAAAATCAGAATGTATTAAGTGCTGCGGAAAAAGATGAGTAATCCTGTATGCAAATAAAATTTGTTCTCATTTAATGTATTTATTTGTACTCACCATTATTTAAAAAAAATTCAGCCATGCCCCTCGGGACTAGAAATATGAATCGCAGGATCTGCTTGAGGAAATAGATGTAAATCCTACAGGCAAGTTCTATAAAAAGGCACTGAAGGAGCGTTATTCTCTGAACAGAACAAACTTTTTGAATGCCATCATAATGTACAGTATTCCCCACTTCCCCAAGGACAAGAATAAATAGCATCAATCTAATAATTTCTTTTCTAACAGATTATGACAAAGAAGATGAGAATTCCATGGACAACAACCAGCATTGTCAGGCCATCGAGAAACATTATGTGGAAAAGAGAAGCAGGTCATCATCTTCTGTGTCATCGACAGATGATGAGCAGAAACCTTTTTTTTCTGAGATCATAGGCTACCCAGCTGGACTAGGCAAGGCTGCAGTATTGGATTTTGAGGAAATGGTGAATGCAACAGAAAGACTCCAAAGTGATCGACGAAGTCACTCCTGTAAAGGTAAACCCAACAAAGTCTTTGCCAAAGGTATTCAGATTTAAGAAGTCACCGGACATGGTCAGAGCAGTAAGAGTTTTAACCTTCTAATCAAACATCTCCTTGAAAATAGCAATAGCACTTTGACTTATATACCGCTCCACAGTGCTTTACAGCCCTCTCTAAGTGGTTTACAGAGTCAGCCTATTTCCCCCAACAATTTGGATCCTCATTTTACCCACCTCGGAAGGATGGAAGGCTGAGTCAACCTTGAGCCTGGTGAGATTTGAACTGTCAAATTGCAGGCAGCTGGCAGGCAGCAGAAGTAGCTTGCAGTACTGCACTCTAACCACTGCACCATCATGGCTCATCTCAAAATAGCCCTTGAGATTAAGTTTATCATATTTTAGTAGTTAATTTCTTCCAGCCTTAGAGTATTTGAAATAAATTTCAACAGATTCGGTATTCTCTTCAATAGAGAATGGCAGAATGGTCATCCTTAAGCTGACCATATAACTCCCAACAGCAAAGAGCTGGGGTTTTTAATCTCTTTGTTATCTACAAAAGATGACCAGCGTAGTGGTCTAGGGGTGAAAATACTCACCTCCCAGTGAGAGTTCAATCCTAGTTGGTAGTTGATGTTTCTCTCCAAGGGCACAAAGAAAAAATAATCCACTGTGAACTCTGCATAGGCATAAGGAAGGGAATCCAGCCAGTAAATGCTCAGCTTCATCCAGTCAAAGGAGTTATTTCAGAGGTGGGTTGCTGCTGGTTTGGCCGGGTTCAACTGGCCCGGAGCAGCTGAGAGTGAACTGGTACTGTGGCTCTTTTGGCCCGCCCATCCAGACCCTATACCTGTTTTTATGGCAAAAGGCAAATTGTGCACACGTGCACATCGTGCGACACCTGCGCGAGCACCAATAATCAGCTGGTTGCTGCAGGGGTAGTGGATTGCACGCACACATGCAACGCAAATCAGGCATGCGCACGAAAGGAACATGTGCGATCAGTGAACCGGTAATGAAGGTAAGTGCAACCCACCACTGAGTTATTTATATCTACAAAATATTCAGAAATTGCCCAAAAGCTGTAGAGCAGGCAAAAAAAAGAGAAGAAAACTATCCTGTCTTAACAAATCTGCCATATAAAAAAAGCTTATTTGAACCAAGACATGATATTTAATATTCCGTATCCTTCCATGGTGGATAAAATGAGGTCCCAGATTGTTGGGGGCAATATGCTTTACTCTTTATACTGCTTAGGGCTGTAAAGCCCTGTGAAGCTGTATATAAGTCTAAGTGCTAGTGCTGTTGCTATTCAAAGCCAGCTTTTCTATCATTGGATTGGAGCTGAACCACATGAGATAAGAGACCACAGGAAACCATCTGCCCATAAAGTATAATGCAGTACAAAGTTTGGAACTTCCTATATTATGCAGTTTCTCAAACCTTCCTGGTATTACACTGGTGAGTTTTGTTCAAGAAACTAAGATTAGACTAATGAATGATCTGTTCACAGAAGTCTCATGTCTTGTTTCATTTGGTGCTGAGTCTTCGGTTTCTGAAATTAGCCTGTTCCTGTGAAGCCTGAAATCTTGATAGCTCTGACCCAAATTAATGACAGTTGTATTGCTCCACCTGTTGGGAAGGAATCATGCTACCATCCCGTTGTATAAACTAGATATTGTGTTGCTGTTGTTTTAAGAAATAGTAGAGTTATAAGTAGTTATTGTGGGGCTTTGGGGGCTCACTCTGAATTAAGCAGGAGATACTCAAATATTGCAATTTAGGTTTCAGACAGCATTCCAAATGTTAGTATGTAACAAACGTTTACCACGTAAGATAAGTACTGAATAAATTTTGCCTCGCTATTAATCAGATATATAAATCATCTCCTAGCCATCTCACTATGGCGTTTTATTGCCAGAACTTTATGACTGTCGATTAGGAATAACTGAAATGCATGAAGATATGCAAAACATCAAGAGTTCTATCACTGGAATATTTCTACACATCACAATTGATATGTGTTTTGTTGATTTCTCTCCTATTTCTGCATAAGGAACTTCAGTTTTTATTCCCATATCTCTTCATCAAATATCAGGTTACATCAGGGCATTTTATGGCTCTCGGGTCACGTCTGGACCTTTGTCTATGTCTGTCCAGCCTGCATGGATTGCTTTTATTTTGAAGGCAACTGTTATTTCCCCCCCAAAAATTTTTGTGTGTCTGTGCTGCACACCTTCACAGCCATATTGGTTTGGTCCTCCACAGCAGTGTCAGTTTCTCATGTGGTTCCTTGGGAAAATTAATTGCCCACCCCTGAGCTACACAGAGAGAGGGAGGGAGGGAGAGAAGGAGGGAAGGAGGGAGGGAGGGAAGGAGGGAGAGAGAGACAGAGAGAGAGAGACACAGAGAGAGAATAATGTCATTCATCTACCCATAAATTCCCATTGACTCAGAACTTTATAAATACTACTAATATATATTTGCAATTTGGAAGGTCACCTTTTCCCTTTTGGTTGCTAGAAATATATCTCGCAGCTATGGAAACCTTTTCCAAGGCAACCTAGCCAAACAATCTTCTCTGGGCTATATTTAGCTTCTTTCANATATTTCTCCACTTCTTTATCTTCTCATCTGTTGTTTTCAGGTACTGCCCCATCCACGATCCAAACTTTTTTTCTCTTTCCTTTCAACATTTATTAAATTCAGGGTTTTATGTGGTAGGTGTTTATCTGTCCAAACTTTAAAGTCCCAGAACACTTTAGCTTCTTCGTTTTCTATTATTTTGTCTATGTTATGTCCTACCAGTTCTTGCTTGGAGACAATTGATATTTGTTCTATTTGAAAGTGCCTTTTTTCGACAGGAACATAAAGATGTAAAATATTTTTCAATTGCCTCTTTATTATGAAATGATTTTTAAATAAAATTGATTAATTTCAGAATACAGAAACTCATAATAGAAAATATAGAAACTTGATTACAAGATCAGGATTTTCCAGTCAAGCCATATTTTTCACACTATTTTTCCCCATGTATTGTCCTTAATATCACTGGAGAAAGCAATTATGTTGTCTAGAGTTAGTGGTAAAAGGAAACCAGGCCACCAAAGAACACGATAGTTGGACACCATTAAAGTTCACATCAGCCAGTGCATAGAAAAAAAGAAGAGAAAGAAAGATTTCAAGATCGGGCCCCTAGAATCGCCAAGAGTCAGACATTTTAATGGATTATATCATCATGTCCTCAATAAAATTAGGAAACAAAATATCATAATATTTTTGTCCCCTGCACATGTGACTATGCATGAATATCGGCCATATTTCATTTCATTGTTTGTAGTGAACCTCCGTGGTTATCATATTTTTCAGACTATAAGACACACTGGAGTATAAGACGCACCAAGATTTTGAAGAGGAAAACAAGGAAAAACAATACTTTTTGACCTCCGTGCATCTGGTTTTTATCCTCCCTGGCCCCCGGGAGCACTCTGCAGGCCTCCCAAATCCTCTGTATACCCCCGTTTTTGCAAAAAATGGGCCCATTTTTGGCCTCCCAAACCTGCTACTCATCCCGTTTTTGCTATCCCCAGCCCCCAGGAGCACCTTGCAGGCCTCCCAAACCCTCTGCACACCCTACCTGTTTTGGCTAAAATGGGACTCATGGGGTGGGTTTCGGGTGTATAAGATGCATCAACCTTTCCACCCTCTTTTAGGGGGGAGGAGTGCGTCTTATACTCCAAAAAGTATGGTAGTTATAATCTTATAGGAGAGTCAATGCTTTCCAGATCAAAACAAACTGTCTGGCCTTTCTCAAGTTTCCTCCAGAATTCCTACAATCAATATGTTCACCTAGCAAAAGTGAGATCCCAGAAACATTTTATCCTTAAGTATCTTTAGCAAGTCAGTTAGGGAATGCTGCATTCCTCTGGGCCACCTGGTCAAGATATTCTGTTCTTGGCTTCATCAGAATGTATAACATTAATAATAGTGCCCTTAATAGTCTTTCTATATTCTATGCTCTTGAGAAGGACAGTCATCACATCTGTCTTGGCAACTGCCGACATGCCTCTCAGCGAAAGTGCAAAAATGTTCTTGGCCACACTCCAGGCAGGTAACCAAGAAAGTCCTCCTGATAATCAAAGATCCTGTAATCACCTGCTCCCAGTTCTAGTAATAGCATTAACCTAGCAATTATCTGGATATAAATTATAGAGGAATGCCACAGGCTGCCAGCATCCATCTGACTGCAATGCCATCATGGCCCGAAGAATGAAAGCTACTATATAGAGAGATCATTTTCTTACAACCATGGAAAAAGCTTTCCTTAGGGCACAGATTGGCTGGAATGCAAAGTTCTGTAAAGAGCTGTACGTGGCTAATGCAGCCTCATCTTCGGAGTCTTTACCCAGCTCCTTAACACATTTCACTTTTTTTGACCAAAGGGAACTTCTCAAAAGCAGATTATGATGGATACACTCCCCTCGCTCAAGTTTTAAACTCTTTTTCTGCTCCTAAAATGGTTATTTGGATCCTGCCTCAAGACAAATCAGATTATTTCAACAAGATTTGTTACTGAGCAATGATAAAAAGTGATCAGATCTGTGCTATTTAATCCAGTGCCTTTGTCTTAAAGTCCAAGTAAGCAGTGGCCCTACCAGAATGTACAATTTATAAAGAAGCTGTATATGTTTTATTGTCAGAATAGATACACAAGTAGCAAAGAGCGTATGTTAAAATTGTAGTAAGTTGGTATACAATTGCTCTCTGACAGCCCCAAAATGGAAAATCTGATGGTCTAGAACAGCCTTCAGAAGAATGCTGCTGTTTTTATTCATACATGGCATATTTACTAAGAAAAGAAAATTGGCAGTATTCATTCTGAAAGTTTCTTCCACAATACCTCATCCTTAAAATTGGGTAAAAAGCTGTAGAGGTCTAGAGGTATGCTTTGAAATGAGGTGACCCTGGAAGATGACACCTTTTTTTTCAGTATGCCAACCATGCATTTCATTTGATCAA